GTAGCCCTTGATCTACCCGCTTTTGAGGCTTTGGTCTCCGACTGGGCATGTGCTCCACCAGATGATGTTACGCTGAGGCAGTTGCATGTAAGTATCGGCTTATATAGGTAATGTACATGCCTTTGTCTTCTTGTTGCTGGCAAGTGTTTATACTTTCTCGCATGGGAGGGTGTGAGTATTCAGTAGCTGTTCAGTTGACGGAAAAAACTCGTGTCCTTTATGATCAGCTCACATATCTGCCCTCTATTACCCACAAGTTTTGTAAATGAATCACTTTGCATTTCAACAGCTAGCCGCCCTTAAGCGAGCGTTGTTCGGATCTCTAACGTCATCAATCCCAGCTTTTAGATTCCTCCATGCAGCAGAGGCTTGTGGTTGAAATTGCATGCTCAAAGACCTCTGTGGCTATAGCGATTTGCCACCTAGCAGGCCTTTTTGAGGTTTTCCATATAACATTTTATGTGGGCAAAACTGCTCAGGCGGGCTAGGACTACCATCAGGGATGGTCCATATTAGGCATCAGTAAGCTAGTCCTTTTGTTTATAGTTGAAGAATTCCGGCCGATGTTTGTTAAATGAGACCGATACAGCTTTAAGAAAAAAAAGTCCCAGAACATAGTACATAGCGGCCAGGTAGCAGATCGAACAGTCATTTTTACTGTCTTCAATTCACCAGCCAGACGGTGTACTTTTAAATATTTGAAGTTGAGCGAACTCTGTTTTGTCAAATTAATTATCAGATAGTAATAACTATGCAAAAGCAGCAGGCTTTGCGCTACCAACGCAATCCAACCTACAAAAGTGAGAGTTTGTTCGATTTTTCTGTATTTATCTGTAAGTTTTCTTCACGAGCTGCTGCAATCCCTTATAGGAAACTGCTGACAGGCTCAAGGGCTGCCAAAGAAGACTGGAAGCTTACATCGGAACCCTCAGCGACAGTATGAATCCGAAGTCAGAAAACATTGAGGAAAAGGAGGCAGCGTTTGCAGAGCTGATGCGAGTGAATGAGAAGATTCAGGATTCTGTCAGGCTGTTCCGGTCATTCGAGAAAATGCTCCATCGCGAGAATGAAAAGGTATTTATTATTTACATTGTTGCCTGGACGATAGCCATCTGTCCAATAGGGAGATAGCAATAGAGCCTAATTTTGTTTGGATGGTTACTTGGAGCCCTTTTTATGAGGCATTTGTTTTGAGAAGATTTAAACTGTTGGACCAATGCTGCTAATGTTATTTGGTGGGGCAAACCGTTGTGAGCGACAAAAATCTGGATAAAGGTAGTCCGATGGTGGAATATTTGGCGCAACTAAAGCGATTGATTCAAATGTTTTAGCGACAGAGTTTGAGCATGCAGGTGGTGCAACAGAACGATCCAGCACTTCATCACATATCGGATCCAACTGCATTTGCCGTAACGCTTCAGCACGTATCTCTTCCAACTCTCGTCTGCGGTCGCCAACGGCTTCATCGTTACGGAATATGCGACGCAAATTGGACGCTGGGTTTGGGTAATCGACTAATTTCAGCGGCGTTTTTGTCGGTGTGCGCGCTCGATTTAGTATCTGGAAGTTCAAAAAGGCTCCAGGTGATAGATGGTGCGGTTTCCGGAACGCAGTCATCGCACAGAAATCACACTGTTGTTCAAAACGCAGTTGGGTCAGGACCCTTCTATGCGGGTTAGTTCCACTTTACTGACAAAAAAGAAGAAATAAAAGATGAATTAAAGTGTCTGCATTCCTCCTTTTGCGACGTACGGATACACATAGGCACTCGAACTTCACTGCCAGACGTTCGGCGAAGGCCATTTAATCGAGTCTCTCCTCAACAGTTTCAGTCATAATGCCAGTCCGAAGAAATCATGGCCAGTAGTGATGTAAATGTTCGGGGAACGATCTCACCTGCGTCGCCAATTTGTTTTAAACGTGGCCAAAGCTGCGATATCGCCGTCTACGTTACGTCTTGTGTGAGTCCTCCCCCCATGGAAGAACACAACAAGAAGAGCGTAAAAGTATAAGTCTTTGTACAGACCTAATACATTATACTTAAGCAAGCGAATGCAAACATATTGGACGAGTAAGATTGTGGTCTCAAGAAAGACGCGACTCCATTTACCTCGTGACTTATGCAGTTGGCGTGGTAGTGTCCTGTGCCAGCCGCGGTGTGCGCGTCGTCACATACAATCAGTGTGGGCGGACCGGTGTCTGGCTTGTAAACATCTCCTCGGGTCGGCGTGCACTTTGTGTAGGCGGACCAGTCGTTTGACTGGGGAACGACGCGATACAGTGACGTGTACACGCATTTAAGGCCGGGCCCTAAAAAGCAGTTAGCCCAAAAGTGAGCGTCAGCAGTCTAAGTTATATTAAACGATTCCCCCACAGAAAGCACTTTCGGAAGCCGCACCAAGACAACTGATCTTTTCTATGACTGCTGTTGCCACCACCAGAGAACAACTTCCCATTATGCGTCATTAATTTTTATTCACAGTCTCCAACGAAGCCAGGCCCAGAAAGGGAAACAGAATGCAACTCTGACCTTGATGCCGGTAGACTTGAATCTGCTGCAGAAATCGGCTCAAGTGGCCTCTGTAATCGGGTCTCCACTGCAACACCAGCTTTTGCTGATTCCAAAGAGAGTGTTCCGGTCCTTCATGAACTGCAAATATATTGTGTTTCTGGGATGTAATTGAGCTCTGTTTGTTTTCCTGGACAGTCGACTGCATATTTGCAAGATGCT